AGCACAGTCTCAGTCAATACTTACTTATTAGATCACTTTTCTGCAGTGTATTTTACAATAATCAATAGGCTTCTACAAGGCACCATTAAAAAAAGGCCAAATTAGTATTGATTTATCTAAAAAATGACAGATCTTTGAATATTATATCCATCTTTATGTTAGTAAGGACATGCATATAACTATTAACTTTAACACTTAGTCTATCAAAGCAATATGTTTCTTTCAACTTCTGGAAACCTCAGCCTCAAAAAATAAGAAATGATGCAGTATTTCTGCTTGACAGAGCTCTTAGAAGAAAAGAGAAGCAACGTTTCTGGGGCCAGCATTAGAACTACAGTGTACCATTAATGTATTAGACTCCCAAATGAAAGGAAGACCAGTGGTGAATGGAAGATTAGAAGAGCCAAATAGAATAAAGTGTCAGCAGAAGTAGAAGTGTAGGTAGTTTTCAAGGAACAGATCGTATTACATTAAAATCAGAAGCATGAATTATATTTTGATTATGAAGACACCATTTTCAAAGGAAAATTTAATCATCATTGTGTATTCAAGTAATATGCATTGTTTTCATGGGCAACAGGGATAGCATGGTACATCATAACACTACAGATATGATAGGAAGGAATATGAAATAAGATCCTATTTCATAGACATTTAAATGAGATTTTTTAAGTGAATATGAAAAAATAGTAGTATCATTATAATTATCTAGATACAAAATAGTTAAAATTTTCTTTCAATTTCTAATTTTTACACAAAAGTGGTAATCTTTCTCATAATATTTATTTTGACACAGCTGACACTAAAAGGCTGTCTAGATCTTTTCTAACTTTGTAAATACTTAGCTAAAAGAACTGTTACTGGTTACGGAATGTATAGTTGGCAAATGACAAAAACAAATTGGAAAGTCAAAATATAATTTATAATCGTGAGCAATTAAGAGTTGTGAGACAAGTTATATGAAGAAAATGAGAAACACTTTTATGAAAATAATGGATTTAAATTGTGACACACTGATAATGAGATAATTCAATTTGGAATGTTAAATAATTCAATCTGTTAAATTCTAAATTTGATTTCTCAACATTAACTATCACTGATTGATTTTAACTATTATTTTTGTGTCCTCTTTTCTGTAAGATGTTAATTTGACAGTAAAAGGTGAAGTGACTATAACAACATGTAACAGGGCAATACAGTAAGGTAAATGACTGTGAGAAATCAAATAAATTTTAACTGGCTTTTGGTACTATAAAAAGTATCTTACTCTTAGAAAGAGAGTCTTCTGTTCCTGGGTGTCTGCCAGAGTGTATACTCACATGTATTAGCTATGCTGTGAGTAAGACTTCGGGTAGAAGAAAAAAGTATGACCACAACTCCAGTTCCTCTTCACAAGCCTTGTTATGAAATGCAATGCCACCAAACAATATTATCACATGTAGTTCCTGTCGTTGACTAATGGCTAATACTGTCCATGGCTAAGTAAAGGACTGAACCTTCCAAACTTATTTACATGCCAATAACATCATAACTATGGAATACCTTCTTCATTATGTGGGAACTGTGCCTGTCTCTGTAAGATCTGTTAGCTTTTTATAATTGTACCCAAACTCAGTAAAACTTATGGTGAAAAAAATCAAGACATTAATTTCCCAAGCAGCAATCTTAGACTGTTCTGAATCAAAACTGACTGGAGTGGGGCAAGGAGGAGGAAGTTTCAGTTGAGGTATGTTACCTGTCAGGAACATCCACAGTTGTCTTGCCTTTAGCACTAAGGAGAGACATACACAAAACCCAAGGTCCCCAAACTGATCGCATGTTAGAGCTTAATACCAATCCATCCCACCCTGTCACTCGTAAGGTGTTGGGTTCTTATGGCAGGCTGCCTAGCCCTAGGAGGCAAGTTAGCAATTTCACATAAAAGTTTCTGGGCCTCTTGAATGCCTTCCATCTTACACATGCAGTCTTCCTCCTCTTTCTACTGTGGGATCTCATCAATCAGTTTAACTGACAGATGAGGTAACTAATAGGGAGGTAACTCCTAAAATGTTTAAATTGCTTGGTTATTGTTGATCTTCATATTGAGGAAGGTGGAAGGACTACAGTTTCTTTTGTAGAGAAAGGCCAGTGATCACCACAAAGGCCAAAGTAGATGGGTAATAGAGGAAAACATGCAACCCCCTTTTGGGATTCTTGTTGGTTTGTTTTGTTGTTTAGTTTTGTAACTGTTTGATTTTTAAAGGCAAAGGAGTTAGGAACTACAGTCTGTGGAATACTTGAGCATTTTCCCAGTAATTGAGGAGGCTCCCCTTCCTGGTTGCCAGCAATCTAGTATGTTGAATCCTTGAAATTACTGAATTTAGTGAGGCTGAGAGATTCAAATGCTTGCATTCCTGACAGAAAATTCATCTGATCAGGAGAATAGCAAAATAACTAGAATACATTCTTGAGAAGATGCTAGGAGGAGGTGAGGATAATATCTCTGTTTCTTAGGACTTTTCAAGGTCAAACTTTTCTAGAAAGAAAAAGTTTGGGTAAGCCAACAAAAGCCTCATGCATGGAAAAAGGTGGTAGGAGTGATTATTCTGTCTGGGAGTGGGAGATAGATAGGAATAGAATTTGGTTGTCAGACAACACCAGAATAAGAGAGAGGCTGTATACCTAGACTGCATGCTACATTACTCATCCCAGATGTTTGGACTGCTTTTCCTTCTGTTCAGTGCTATCTTTGCAGAATAATTATGAGTAATCTAAATTTAAAAAAAAAACAACAAACAAACAAAATAAGCTGCATTGAGTTTAGGAACTTCTGCATTGCTGAAATTGCACTGTGGAAGATCTGCTGTTTATTTCGGTGATATAACAGTTTTTTCAATTTATTGCCAGCTCCTTCCATGAATTTGACAGTTTAATATTTTGTGACAGTTAAAGCTTTAAATGTACTTTGATTTCAGGTATTCCCAACAAATTTATTGCAGGTCTGTCTCACACTGATAATGAAAAATGATAGAAAGAGATACATAACCAATAGCATTTTTGACAGGTTTCTGCCAAGTCACACTATGTGGCTTCAACTAAGAAATGAACAATAATTTTGTTGAATATATCCCTATAGAGTCAATAAAGATAGTTCTCTGAATTTCAGTCCTGACATTTAAATCCTGTGTACATACAAATATATCTGAATCATGAGAAGCTCACAGCATTGTGCCATGCATCACTTGTTAATGACCTTCCTTGCCCTTATAAAAAAAAATATATAACAAAGGAAATTAGTTGTTGCTTTACCATCAAAAGGTATTATTTAATCTGAAGAACCCCATTCCAAACCTGGAAGCTCAATGAACTAGCTAGTATGTATGTGTTTAGTAAGTTCATTAGAAAAGGGTAGCATTTCAAGATAGACAATTTGCAAATTGTTATACAGCTATCTTTTTGTACTATTTTATTCAGAAGTCTGCGCCAAGAGAAGGCATGGAGCGCCAGATGTGCAAATTAGGCAAGCAACAGTAGAAAAGCTAATGGAAAAAGCTGTAAGAAAAGAGAGGGGCCGAAGACCTAATTGCTCACCCAAGCTCCTCACAGTGGTACTTGGTGGGAGGAGGAGGGTCTAAGCTGGAACAAAAGAGGATCAGTCTCAACATAAGAAAAATACTTTTTTAAGAAAAACATCTTTAACGTGAGGACAGTCAAAAGTGGGACAGGTTGCCCAGAGAGGCTGAACTGTCTCCATGCTTGTAGGTTTTCAAGGTGTCACTGAATAAAGCCATGAGCAACCTGTTCAGATCTTGTCACTGACCCCGTTTTGAGCAGGAAGTTGAACGAGAGACCTCTCACAGCCCTTTGCCACCTAAATTATTCTAGCATCCTACAATCATACAGTACTGGGTACCCAGCTGCTGGTAAAAAGGGAAAGTTTTCATAAAGTAACAGTAAAAGGAAAAATTATTGCCAGATGGGAAAAGAGGTAATAGAGCCCTTACTTCAGTAGCTCCACTTATTCCCCGTTGCAGCTGTGCAAGGGGCAGGTATGTTCAGAGTTAGGAACAGGAAAGGTGGCAGTCTGCAAAGTCTGCATACTAGCTCTGGAATAGGTAATGGAGTGAGACTGGGGAGTCTGCCAAGCTAATTTAGGCAATTATGGCCAAGGAAGACCATATATGTCACAGGTAATCTAGAATGCTTTTTTCCTTATGCTGTGTTTTGCTTTCGTGAGTCTTTGTTTTAACAAAATTTTATTTCTGTTCTTATCTTGACATAATTCAGTAAGCATGCTCTTTTATAAATGTAAATCTTGTCACACCATAAATCTGAGTCACCTCACATAAAGAGGATACAGCCTTCCCTGGAAAGGCAGACGTAATTGAGGTGCACAGAAAAGAAATGTTCATGCTACCCATGTTCAGGTCTCCTCTTGAGGCTTTAGGTTGCTTCTATACTAATTTGCAGGTGTCTCTTTATAATGTTTACACTGGTTAACCCAACTCCCTTGGTATGTCTGGAGATAGCCTAGAACTTCTCTGATGAGCAGCAGGAAAGTGGAAAATGGCTTCAGACTTGAGGGGGGAGGGATGGAGAGGAAAGTTGCCGCTTTCAACTTGTCACAGTAATGTAAAGCGTACTTAAGATTGTCTTCCCAAAGCATTGTTTATTCTCTTTATTAGCCTACAAATATGAAAGTTCCATTTTTAAGACTAAATCTTTTTTTTGTCTATTTATTCAAAATAGAAATAAAACTATTAACTCTTCTGAAGTTCACAGCCAGATGCTGATGCTAGTGGCACTGGAGGGGATGGGGAAGCAACTATTAGTTTCATTTTAATAGAAGTGAAATAGATTTTTAAAATTATATAAAATGTCAGTATTGAGGATATTAGTAAAGATCTATGAAGACATGTTTAAATATTGAAATAACTTCTGATTTCAGGAAAAAAGTGGAGTTGAATGTACAATCACAGAAAATAACGTTTTTATCTGATACAACTTTGTTTCTCTTTTAGTGGCAAAGCATTACTATAACACTGGTTGAGAAAGTGCAGATGGTTGCTGTAATCCTAGGATCTCTGTTCTTAGTAGCAAGTGTGACTTGGCTTCTCTGGTCAGCCTTCAGCCCTTATGCAGTATGGCAAAGAAAGGACATCCTTTTTCAAATCTGCTATGGAATGTATGGTTTTATGGATCTAGTATGCATAGGTAAGCTCAAAACCTTTAAACAGCACAGACTGTGGTTTAAGACTGTGACTATATCGATTTTTCTAATTGGTCACTCTAATTGATCACTCCAGTTCTTTGCAGATTTATTCTCAGCTGGTACCTTTGGCAAATACTGCTTTTTACACTGCTACAAATACTGCAAAGAGAAAAGAACCAAAGAAACCTTACTCTCAGATTCATCAGTGTCTCCCCAAGATCTTGGTGGTGAGAACAGGATCAGTTTCAATTTCTTGAAAAAACAGGCAGCTAGCAAATTTCAGGAAGTTAAATAGATGAAAATAACAAAGAAGTTTTTAAAATAATTAGTAAAATTATGTGCTATCAAGTCTTCTACTGGTGCCATTTTGCATTAGATTGTAGCATCGTGAAGTGCAGAAGAAGCCCTTGAGGATGTCATCAACCTACATACCCAAAATTAAGTGGCACAGACTTACATAGGTCACTGTGCTAGTAATAGGAAAGACCAGAGAAGACAGGCATGAGTTCTTTGTACATCATAAGCAGTTATGCAACTCCGTAATAGTGCTAACTATAATAACTTCCTATACTATTAAAACTATAATAACTTACTATACTGTTAAAAAAGTCTCAAGTCATTTAACTCTGGCTGAAATCTTATAAAAGAAAATGCAATTTACTGCAAAGCTATTTTGATCAGTTTTGAAATTTCTGAAAGTATACTAGACCCAGAAATATTAAATAGAAATTCTTTTAGCATTTGATAAAACAGCCTTGAATTGATTGTTAGAATAGCTACTATTATTTGCAGAGAAAATTTAATAATTACAGTAAACATTAAACCACATTTTTAGAATTGTAATTCCAAGACAATCCAGAAGTCAAATGCTATCTGATGTTTGCTTCAAGATTTCTAAGTGATAAATATTTATGTTTTCCCAGTCTCATACATGGGAGTCCAAAAGGACAGTGCTGAATTCTGCTCAATAAGGTGCAAAGAATCAGAGTGTTTCCTAATATCAAGGCTTTTGCTCCAACCATAAAGCCATATCATCTTTTACTGAAACCATCTCATTACTGTAAGAGTATTTATATTTCAGCTGGATCAGCAGTTCTGATTGTTTTGTAATTTTTTCTAAAAGAAGCACACTCTGGAATATATTAGAACACAGACTTTCTTCTGTGAATCCAAACCTTCTCAGACATGAAAATGAAGAGAATCTCGGTCTCTCATACTCTGGACAAGTGCTCAGCTATTAAATGAAAAAAAAAAAAAAAAAGCTCAGCTACTTGTCCTCTTACATGCTGATTCCTGGATACTACCTTTTCCTGACTTAACACTCAATATGAGGTTTTGCTTTTCTTTAAATTAACACTAAGTGAAGTAAAAATGTGCTTCAGACATTCTAAAATTCATTTATATGGAATTCTGCTTTTTCACAAAGACTACAATTGTAAAAAATTTACTTTGGCATGCATCATCTAGTTGGAATAACCAGGTATTTCAGACTGTTTCACTTTCTTTCCATTTGTTTGACTGTTAAAACACCTAAACCAAATCAATCTCAAAATCAATTGAGAATGTCTGTGACTGATCAGAAATATTAGTGTATTTATCTGTAGAAGTAAACTATTGCAAGACAAGCCTTCAGCAGATTGGTACATGCCGTTATGTAGCTGCCTTTCTAGCAGCCAGGCTCAAGCCACCCCTGGCCTGGAGGCTACTGAGCTGACATGTACCTCACATGGCTATGGAGCTTCCAGCCTAACTGGCACCAAGCAGGACCAAAGTGGACGTGCAGCTGTCTTCACCCATCAAATAAACTGACTTGTCTATAATTAGTTAAATGCATATTTTGTAGTCCTATCATAAATAATACACAAATTTTTACGTAAAACTGACTATAATTAAACATATTTGGACACTATTTTGTAGTTACTGAAGCTCAGTGCAGATGTGACTTAACAGTTTAATAAACTGTATCTGGAAATTCAGAAAGCTGTATAAAGGAGGTTTGGTAGTGGTAGAATTCTCATGATCCAGATTCATTGAGCCCACTTATTCTGCATATGATTTCAAGTAATCTGCATTCTGTAAGCTTGTAAGACCAGGAGTCCTTGTAACTCTTGAAAATATTTATTAATATCTTGAATTTCATTCAACTTTATCTTTTCTATCATCATAGAGCGAGGGATTTTAGATTGATTGTTTTAATTTAAAACATTGGAATAAAGTTCTCTAATAGATGGATGTAATATTTACTCATGAATTATTAAAAAAAAAACCAAACCCAACACTGTCCATTATGCTGATGACTTCCCAAAGGCATTAATTTATGATTTTACCATTGCATATTATATATAATCTCTTGTATCATAGAGCTTGTAATTCTTACAGCCAGCCACAGTTGTCACTTAGTATCTCATCTCCCCTCATTTGTATTTATTTATCCATGGCATTCTCTTAGTTTTCAACAGGCTTTACAGTGAGTGAATATCTATACTCCCACTGGAGTCTCTCTTTATTTCAGTGAAAAAATCTATGCAGATGTATGGCTTTTCCTGTGCAGCACATATTTTAAGACAAGTGCTTGAGTTACTGGTGGTATGACCGAGACTTACTCTCGACTGCCTTCAGTTATGCCTCCCTCTAGTTTTGCATAAACAATACGAATATTTTTGTTCTTTTGTGAAGTGTAAATACCTGTACTTTTAAAAATATTTTGTTGTCATTATCTTTAAAAGCAGTTTGCCTAAAGGTACTGACATATTTATATGACTATATATATCTTTGAAAACTTGCACATATTAATTTGTTTTCCAAATGATTGATTGATATACTATATATAGCATACAAGTCACTTTCTTCTCAATTGAGTTACATGTAACTTGTATTTTAATTCCTGGTCTCGTTTTGCTTTTCACCAAAAAAAAATCCCAAAGATTACAGATCACCAATATAATGTTTTATTAATTCCAGTGTACATATTTTATTGGTATCCATTGTTCTCCTTTTTCTACTCTAAATTTTTTCAGGATTCTTCCTAACAGGATCATTTTTACTTACCGATGTTAGTTTCAACCCTACAAGTCACTAGTTTGTCCATTTCTGCATCTGAGCTGGGTGTAAAGCTGTTCTCTTCGAAACCTGCTGATGGTAGAAGTTTTCCTAAGGCAAACCTTGAGCATTTTAATCAAGTGGAACTACTGTCTGTGAAACCCAGAGCTGTTGCAGTGATAGTGCTAAGATCAGACCATCCATGTAGGGATTGCTAAAGGGAGTGAGTTTGTGAGCTAATATGAAAGGAATTAGTAATATAAACCCCTTATTTAGCCACTGAAGGACAGCAGACCAATTCTACTTTGTAGCCCTAGCAATTATTTCTCACAGCAGTGAAGTTTATGTATTTTCACTGGAATATACTCATAACTACTAGTCATTCATTAACAAAATCCTTCACAAATAACACCAGCTCACTTGCAACCCCAGAACAGTGCAGCTCCCTTAGAGTGTGAAAAGCACTAGAACGTTGCACTAGAAACATGAGTGATGTGGGTAGTACTATGGCAAGGGAGTCAGAGATGGGAGCCCGAGCGAGGTGTGGATGGCCCTCTGAAAGCCTCTTCCTTCCTACCAGGGAACTTGATGCCTAGCAGTGTTTGTGTAACTCCTTAATTGTAAAAATGTACAGGCTGAAGTTACTTAAAATTAACACATCTAGCTGCACTTCATACTTCTGTACTTAGGAAGTTGTTGTTTTTTTTCACATGAAAGCTAATTCTAAATAGTTTAGAAATAGTTATATTGCTATTTTTAGAGTGGGCATGTTTCACTTTGATACTTCGAGCAATTTATTGCATTTTTTTTAATATATCTGTGAGCCCTAGAATAGCCCTAGAATAGTATTAAGAGGTGGCAGTTTGTCCAGTGGTAAAGTCTGTTTCTGAAAAGGGTCTTTTATTCCCTGATGAAAGTTTGTGATGTTTCTAGGAGTTTCATTCCTAAATTATTATAAGTAAGATTAGTGTGATAAATAAAACACTAATACCACAAATCTAATGCTTTCCCACCTGTGGAACCTAATACCACAAAAATCTGAATGAACTAAGATGAGTTGCCTGCTTTTAAAGACATTCAGTATGAAAAATTTCAAGTGGTCTTGTGACTCAGGGTAAGAAATCCTTTGTGTAGAGTGAAAGAGTCTTGTAGTGCTTGGCAATAAAAGAAAATTTTGATCTCTCTATAATCCTGTTGTCTGGATCCCACTGCAATTCCTACATCTTACAAATAGATCCTGAACGTAAATTCTTAGAACCGTAGGACATTTTGCCAGGTCCATCATCCCAAAACTCTGTTCATTGTAGATATGAATTGGATAGAATGTCAGCACAGCTAGCAGCAGTGGATTCTAACACTTCCTCTTGGGAGCATCTGGGTAAACAAAATTTATTTATTTTTTTTTTTCCTAGGACTGGGCAACTATGTCCTCTGTGCTGTTGAAATCATGGTGTTTGGAACAAGTCAGTATTATTGATGGATTTATCCTTGTTTTCTCTTTCATATCCTCATTCATTGCTGTGGAACTCTTAAGAAAAGAGTTTCTTACAGCTTCACTTTAGTGGCTAACTACTTATATTCTGAGCATCGTAACTTCTTCAGAACTGGAAAATCTCCAGCATTTAAACCTTACCCAGATTTCCCATTGTTTGTGGTCCTGGAACTGTTGGTGCTGAGAGTCTTTTTCCCCCGGCTCCTTGGAAAATATCTTTCAAAGAGACAAAGGATCCCCTGTAATTCTTTTACCTCTTCTGCATAGAGGACTTTTTCAGTCTGTAGTTGTATCAGATGGGAAATAAAGCTTTTTATGGGAGGAATTATGAAAGTGCTCCTTTTCTCCAAATCTGCCAACTTCTTTTCAAGCCTTGCAGTATTTGATCCTTTGTTTAGTAGCTCTTTTAGAATATATGTGAATAACAGCTTCTATTTTAAAGAAAAGTTCTCTTCCTTGCCATCATTGAAAAAAAATTGAAAACATAATTTCAGTAAATCCTAAAAGCTCAAAAATAGTTTAAAAAAAAAAAAGGCTCTGTAAAAGAAGTCCTATGATTTTTTTCTGTCATAATTTGTAGAGGATACTTTTGACTGTTTAAATGTACCTCATGGTACCTCATGTACCTCAGTGATCCTTTCTCAACTGCTTCCTTCTCTATTCTGAAATATGTTGCTCAGATTCCAATGGAGTGCAAGCAGGTATCAAAAATCTTTACATTGAGGTAAATAGTTTCTCTCGATTTTGCTTCATCACAGTCTTGAGGGAAATTTGGCCAAAGAATACTGAGAAGATTAAGATAGACATCTTGCAATCAATAAAATTTTCCAGTAAAATGCTATGCAGATACAAAATGCATTTAGAATATTTAACATTTAATTAAGTTTATATTCTGTTAGTTTTTCTGTATTAGATGCTTCAATGAATTCTAGGCAACTCGAAAGCTTTACAGAGATGCTACCTTTGCTATCATATCCTTCTGAAAGCAATCTTTGTGTTTCTCCGTCTTTCAGTGTAATGATCTTTAGAATGTGTTAGAGTAGGCATTGAATCTGAGGTTTGCTGTTCATATAAGTGTTTTTATCAACCTTTCTGCTTGTGTCATCTTTCTTTGAATGCCTCCTTTCTGATATCAGTTAATCAAGCTGAGGCCTCAGACACTTAAATCACAGTTTTGTTGTGTAGGGACAGGTGATATACAATCTCTTGGGATAAAGAAGCCTGTGACACTGCAGATCATATTATAGATGTGGTCATATATAGGAAATTTATAGTCAAGAAACACACTGGACAAAAAAATTTATAAATGTGTTTGGCTAGGCAGATTGCTCTCCTCCAAACGGAGGGAGTCAGAGAAAGCACATGACATTGCTCAGAACCATCTAAGTTACCAGGCTGGTTGAGGAACAGATGAAAAACCTAGTGAGAAGACTGAAGTCCCATGTGTTTCCCCAGTAAATCCATATTTGAAATACTTACACATGAAGATTGTGTGTATAAATACATATAAAAAGGGAGAGTTTCATTTAAGTAAATAAATTGGTTGCATGCGTACAATAAGCATAAATATCAGCTACATGGAAGCTCATAAGCAGATTGGTCTGTTGAGGACTCCAGATACTCTGTATTTTCCTTGAAGGGCCATTTAAAAGATTTCCTGGGTCTCAACAAAAAAGAGGTGTTTCTCAACTTTTGTCGACTGAATTTTGAAGCAAAAGAAGAAAACCTACCATCCTTGCCATGCTCATCATAGTTAATAATAGCATTTAATTTCCTCTTGCTCTACTGAAGCAAGACAGGAAAGTCATTATACTTACAGCTGTTTCAGGTTTTAATAAATCTGTGCTCCCAAGGTGAACTAAGAAAGTGAAAACAGTTAACTTTGTATTTGTACTGAGTTCTACAAAACACTTAAACGAATTTAAGACCATCCTGTTCATTACAGAAGTTCTAACTCACTTAAAGATCTACTTACACTAGCACAAATCTCAGTAGATAGATAGTACTTACCATGAACAAGGATAACACTAGCATAAACAGTCAACTTACAAATCTGCCAGTAAGGTTCTTTTATATTGTTTCTGCTTAAACCTAAAAGTACTTTATTTAGTTAGGCAATGCTCAGATTACTGCAGTATTGGTTACTTTGAGCTTTCATTCAGAACAATTCTATTTCCTCCACATGCTACCGCCTCCCAGTCTTAAACACATGAATAACCAGTTATAATGCATCTGTACAATTTATTTGAATTATCGGAGTTACAAGTAATTTAATAGGCTCTGGCCATTGCCAGATTCATTACAATGTTACATCTGTATTTGCTCTCAAAATGGTATCACCTGATGTTTTGTACAAACTGATTTTTTTTTTTCTTAATTTCAGGACTGATAGTACATGAAGGTGCCTCTGTTTATCGAGTGTTTAAGCGCTGGAGGGCTGTGAATCTACACTGGGATGTGTTAAATTATGATAAAGCCACAGACATAGAAGAGAGCAATCGAGGAGCAGCCTCAGCAGGAAGGACATTGTGGTTACCACTGACTGCATTTAGAAACAGAAGTTTAGTTCATCCAACACAGTTAACCTCACCAAGATTTCAGTGTGGCTATGTATTGTTACATCTGTTCAACCGCATGAGACCTCAGGAAGATTCATCAGAAGATAACGGCTCGGGGGAAGTAGTGATGAGAGTGACCTCAGTGTAAAGATTACGCTCACTGTGCTACACAGATAAGGATAATGTGCCCTGATGTTACAGGACTTTGGAATGTAGTTACATTGGTGGTGAAACCATTAACACTTGAAAAAATATATACACCTTTTTTAAATTTAATGCTTTTTTATATGATCAACAAAAACAAATACATTTTTCTGGGGAAAAAAAAGTCTCTTGCTTTTTATATAGTCTGATTTATTAGATCTTTTGTCAATTTGTACCTGAGGTGTATACAATATAGTTTAACTCTTAGGTCTTTGAATGATGAGGAAAGTAATTTTTAAGTACAAAAAATATATTTAAATGTATTTTCTTAAACTCTGGCTTTAATCCACTATTGTTATTTTTCCCACTTTCATGAAGATTAAACTGAACAACCTTCTTCCAAGAAGAAAAAGAATATTGGCACAAGTCAAGTATTCTTCCCTTTTTGTCTTTATTTTGTTGTTGTTTGTAGCTCAGTTCAGATGTATGAAAGTAAGAAAAGGATACCTTGTCCCTTGCCTTTAAGCAGAACCTCAATGGGTGTTCTGCGAAACATGAGGGAAGATGCCAACTCTTCTTTTAGCTCTCCCATGTGGATGTGCAAGATGTCAGACACAAGTGTGGCACAGGCAGGGGAAGAGCCTTGCACTTCCTCTCAAGTCTCTAAGATCTGCAGAGTGCTGGTGCTGTGCCTGGGCCCAGAAATGACGTTACCTTCCGAGCAGTGGTGCTGAATTTAGCAGCCTGTGAATTTCTAGTACCATTCCAACTACAGGACATTGACACCCCCTTTTTTTTTTTTTTTTTTTTTTTAAAGAAGAAATGCACCTTACAAGTTCTGGAATAACAGTAAATCCTAATGGAAACTGAAATAGAAATAATGCAGAGCCTTAATTTTGTCAGGTAATGAATCATCATATTTAAAAATAAGCCAATATTCATCTTTATCATGATAGTTAATCAATGCTGTGAAATTTGCTTCTGTTTTTCTCTCATGGCAAAAATTTTAACATAATTTAATCAAATGGAAATGGAAATAATTTCCAAGTTAATAATTGAGTCTGTTCAAGATGAAAAAGTAGGGCTGAAATGACTCTTGAGAGCTCTAGCTTGCTTAAGACAGTTTGTGGTGGGTTGATCTTGGCTGGCTGTCAGATCCCCACCCAGTCGCTCTCTCTCCCTCCTCAACAGCACAGAGGGAGAAAATAAGATAAAAAAGCTTGTGGGTCAAGACAAAGAGAAGAGCATCACTTACCGATGGCCATCATGAGCAAAAAAGAGACAACATGGGGAAAATTAATTTAATTCATTACCAATTAAAATAGAATTGGATGGTGAGAAACAAAGACAAAACATAAAACACCTTCCTTCACTCAACCCCTCACTTCTTACCAGGTGCAGTTTCACCCCTGCACTCCTCCCTCCTCTGCCTCCTCCCCCTGAGCAGCACAGGGATGGGAAATGGGGAGCTGCAGTCAGTCCATAACAGCTCCTCTCTGCTGCTCCTTTCTACTCACACTTTTCCTTGCTCCAGCATGGGGCCTTCCCACAGGCTGCAGTGCTTCAGGATAAACCTGCTCCAGTGTGGGCTTTCCACAGGCCACAGTTCCTTCAGGTCATGTCCACCTGCGTGGTGTGGGGTCCTCCAGGGGCTGCAGTGTGGATATCTGCTCCAGCATGGTCCTCTCCATGTGCTGCAGGAGGTACCTGCTCCACCATGGTCTCTCCAGGGGCTACAGGGGAATCTCTGCTAGGGACCAGCTATGTCTGGTTCGGGACAGTCCCAGCCTCTCCTCATAGAGGTCACCCTGGCAGCTTCCACCCCCACCTCCCTCACCTGGACACCTACACCCAGTACACAGTTAAACATTTTTTCTGTTTCAAAATAAGGTGTAACTGATGGCTGAAAAAATTCAGAGTTACTTTGTGCAGTAGCTGAAGTGCTGTGGCTGTAAAATTCCCTCTTTAGGATCAACAGGTTGGTGCTGGAATCCATGCCTGCTTGCCTTTAGCCAATGAGCTCTACACAGGGCCCAGCATTCTGTGTTACGGTCTTACAAGCTGAAATTTGCACTTGCTAAATGTACAGCTGACTTACTGCTCTTTGAACAATTAACGTGAAAAGCACAACGTAAGCCATGAACAACAAAATGCTATCTCAAAAAAAAGCCAATTTATCTCTTGGATGGCAAATTACCAACATACAACTGTCAATCTCATTGAGAAACTATGAGAATTCACTTCCAGATTAGCTTTAAACAATTTCCCAAAGGAGGAATTTGTGGAGAAATAGAAGATGAGAGCAACTATAACTGGGGAAACCTGCCGTATCACTGGGAATTTCTCGTTCTTAATTACTACTTAAATAAAGCCGGCTTTCTCAGAAGGACCAAATTGGGCTCAGGGTTAGTATCGCAAAAGCACTTGTAACAGAAGAAGAAGGCATTCTGTGATCAGTATACTTAGGAGGTTATGTCACACCTTGTGACACCCAGACTTGTGACCTCTGGGATTCCACGAATATTTCAGTGGTCTTTTTACAGGATCCTAAAAACAAAATTGAGAACTATATGAAAACATGTTGTTGTACAGAAATGTTTTTCATTCACATCCAAATAATTAGGGTGCTGGGAAAAAAAATTACTCGCCAGAAAAGACCAATAGCTAGAATTTAAAAGAGGACAAGATTTCTGTGTACAAATATTTGAAAGACACCTGGGTCTAGAACACTTAACAGCTTCTGAAGGAAGAAAAATGGTCCCATTAAGCATAAGGAAAATTAGTAGTGAGAGGATTGGTTAGGGTAAATATCAAAAAAGCCTTTTCAGTAGTAGGGTTTGTCATCATTAATAATTTCTATGGCACAATAATTTTGCATATGTCTGCATTTACGTATTGCTCTATATAGAGCAAGATCAGGAAATGAAAAACAGTGACAGGATTAGTCTGGGCAGGGTGCCGTTGTGAAAAAGAAAAGATTAAATTTATGACTGCAGAGCGTTTTCAGTAGCAGGAGTGCCTAGTGCAGAATATATGAATATTTCTTCGTTGACCTTGTATTTGGATTTGTGCAGTATTGCAGGGCTGTGATCACCTACATGCAAGACAGATGAATTCAAATCAGAACAGGTGCAGAGAGGGGATATTAGGATGAAAAAGGAGTAGGGACTCATTTCACATGAAGAAATTAGAAGAGCATGGTTTGTTCTGCTTAACAAAAGCTGAGAGCTAATGTTATTGTTCTCAGTTAATATGTTGCAGAATAAAATTTATTTCAGGCAAAGAACAACTCTAAGAAACCAAAAAAACTCAAGGACACAAATAAATTTAGCTGGAAGTTCAAGGTAGTTTTAAAATATCCATATAATGAATCACAGACAACAATTCAAGCGGGAAGGGCCCATGGAAGGACATCTAGTCCAAGCTCCAGGTTGGCTCTGAGGTTAGGCTGATTTGCTCAGGGCTTTAAGCAGTCAGGGCTTAAAATTTTCCAAGGATGGAAACTGCACCCCCCCTGGGAATCAACTCCAGTTCTTGACTGTCCCCCGAGTGAAAAAGTATTTCCTTCCGTCTTACCTCTTCTCTTGTTCCAGCTTATGCCTGTTGTCTCTCACTCTTGCCCCACTGTGAAGTGGATGGTCCTGTCTTCTTGATAACCCCCTTGCAGGTGCTGGCAGGCTGATGTTAGGTCTCCCCTGAAGCCATCTCTTCTCCAGGCTGAGCGAGACTTGATCCCTCAGCCTCCCCTCACAGAGTGAGTGCTTTGGCCCTCAGCCAGCTTGGTGGCCTTCTGATGAACTTGTTCCAGTTACTCCATGTCTTTCCTACACTGCGTTGCCTGGGTGCTGGCCGTCCCTGCAGCCAGGACTCACTGCTGGCTCAGTTTGTGTCTGCAAAGGTCCCCAGGTCCCCTCCTGCAGAGCTGCTCCCAGCTGGGCAAGGACCAGTTGATGTGCTTGCACTGGTGCTTCCTGTCCACAGGCAGCACTTGGCACGTGTGGATGAATTTCATGAGGTTCCAGCTGGTCTGCTCCTCCAGTCTGGCTGGGTTCTTCGGGATGGCAGCCCTGTGTGTCCCTGCAATCTGGTATTATCTGCAAGCTTGAGACCAGAACTGTCTGACACTTCCCCCATGTCACTGATAAAGATGTCAAACAGGACAGGGCCCAGCACACTCCCCTTGTACTGGTCTACAGACAGTGTGGGTTCTATTAACCACCCCCTTCTGGACTTGACTATCCAACCAGCTTTTTGGCAATTGAATTGTCCAACCATTCAGACCTCTTTGTTTTTCCCTTGATGTCCCTGACAGTTCAAGCTGAGCTTTGGCTTTCCTAACCCCACCCCTGGGCAATATTTCTAAAGTCCTCCTTTGTAGCCTGGCCCTGCTTCTGCCTCCTGAACGTGGCCATTTTGCAGTGAGGCTGTGCCACCAGTTCCCAGCTTAGTTGAGCTGGGCTGCTGGTACGTGGCCTTGTTTTCCTGGGTATGGGGATGGTCCATTCTCATATCTGGAGGACGTGGTTCATACAGACCTGGCAGTTCCCCTCATCTCCTTCACCCTTCAGAGCTGCTCCCCTGTGATCCCAGCTGCCTGCTCCCTGGACAAGCCTCTGGCTGCTCACCTGGTGCCCCATGTGTGAGCTGGGTGATGCTCCTCCCTCCTTCCCCTCAGGATCTTCATCTCCACTCTTTCACACTCACCATGGCCAATGCTGCCATGGGTCACCACCTCCCCGGCTGGTGCCTCTTTGGCAGGTACAGCAGATCCATCAGTGCAACCCCCTGGGCTGGCCTAACCAGACACCAACAAGAATTTGTCCCAGACACTCTCCAGAAATCTCTGGGACTGCATGTGTCCTGCTGTGCTGCCCTTCCAGCAGGTTCCAAGGAGGTTCATGGAGTCCAGGAGCACCAGGCTCTGCCCTCCCCAGACTTTCTTAAGGAAGGCTTCATCCCCTCCCTTACCCTGACCCCATAGTCAGTAACATGCTCCCCACCACG